ATGACCAGGGCCGTTAATTTTTGGGGGAATCTGAGGCAGATATATGCTGCTTTGACAAACACTGGTGCTGTGGAAAAGGAACTGATACTGGATAGCCGAGAAAGGGATTTAGAGAATTGCACCACAGTTCCATGCCGTGTGAGGAGGGTCAAGAAGGAATGTTAATCAACAAAGAGCTCCCTCACTTGCAAGTTCTCAGGTCTGCAACCGAACCTCCTGGCAGCCATCAGAAGTGCCATTTCTTGCTCAGGTTCCTTGAGGGAGCTCTGAGGAGAAAGGCTGTAAAAGCAACAAACAAAACCCTTTGTAGCAGTAAGTGTAAACCACTTTCTACCTACTTTGCCTTCCATTCAGCGAGCCTCTTAACAAGGAGGTTCCTAGCTCTGTGCTCAACTCCTGTGCTGCAGACTTTCCCTGTTTCCCAGCCCTCCCACTATACAAAATTCTTTTGAACACAGATCAATCTTGACTGTACTCAGTGTATTCAGTTAAATGCCAGATGGTAAGGCAGGGTATCTGGCCTTATAAATAAATCATTTCCATTGGATCTCTGAGATTATGGCCACAGTCCCTTTCTGCAATTGCTGCCTTTGGAAATTGGGATGCAGAATGCAAGTCAATAAGGTCACATTCATCACACAGCATTTGGAACGCAGCTATATGATGTTAGGTATCTCTCAACAGCTACTTTGACCAGGACATTATTAAACAAAGTATTCTGAAACGTTTTTCCCTGCCCCCAACCCTACTACATAAAAGCTTCTGTTTATAGAAATACCTCAAAAATACCTCATTGCTCTTCCTCTAAAATCCTCTCACCTTGGTCAAAGCTGTTAAACTTAGCAACAGCATTTCTTTGCCTTGGAGATATGCATCTGTCCCAGAGCTCTGCCACCCAACCTCTACTATCTTTGCATTTCTTTTGATAACAAGCCTTCCAAAAAAACCTCACAGTTCAATAGCCAAAGCTGAAGGCAGCCTAATAGTCACCAAGACTGCACAGCAGCCAAGTGTCAGCATGCTGGGTTCTGCCCTCCAGATCAGGAATGCTGCCTGTGAAGCCAGAGGTCTGCAGGTACAGAAAAAGGAAGCAGGGAAACCTGCACCCACTGACTGCGCTGCCACTAACTACATGAATGCAGGTCTAATACTGAGGAAGAAAACATCCCGATTCTGAAGTGAACAGTCATTGCCATTTCCTGAGCTGAAATAAACAACTGGTTTTACAGACTCTTTTCAAGTTAACACCTTCCCATTGAAATATTTTATTTGAGGACTGTATCTCACCATTCTTACCTGCAAGGTGGTGAACAAGCATCTCCAGAGGACTGCTACCGCCACTGTGATGGATGACACACACCAAAAAGCAAAAAAGACAGAGAGCCTGCAGACTTTTTCAAGATAAAACAGACATGAAGTCGTATACCCCATGGATAGGTGGCATATGACTGGTCAACTCAGGAACAGAATTCAGGTCACTTGAACCCCTGGCGCTGAAAAAAGCTTCTGCCTTCAGCTTTTAATTGCCTTTCTGAAAATGTGCAATGATAAATTGTATTTTAGAAAAACAAAGCAGCCTCTTGGACTGGGGAAAAACAACAACAAAAAAGCCATGCCCCATTTACTTTTGAAGAAAAAGGGTGGTGAGGATTTTTGGTTTCATCTGAGTTGATATTACAGCAAGCATAAAAGCTCAGCAGTAATTGCACAGTTTTTTGTATTCTCTGTGTGCACTGTGCATGGATTCTTTTTTATTTTATTTCATATATAATTTATAACCTGCTGCATAGAATCTACTGAGTTAATGCATATGTTTAACACAAATAAAAGGGGAAGTTTTAGTTAAAAGAAAAGCTATTTCCCCCTCAGTTGCATAGGTGCTATCCAGTGCACGGCTGGTCACTTTTTCCAGCAAGCTAGCATTTGCTTTCCTACCACAAATCTCATCCACAGGGGGGGAAAACAGAGTATACCATTATACATTATATATATACATATCCTTTCTTTTCTTTATTTTGTGATTCAAAATCTACCCTACTGGGACTCTGAAGATATATTAGAAATAGAATTCATTTTGTTTCACTGTACTGCTAGCATCCCTTGTAATAAATAAATACATTACCACAAACTGAAAAAAGAATTAAAATTAAAGACTTATGCATAGGTCACCTTTCCCAGTACATGCTGGATTTGATTGCCATTACAGCTTTTCATAAAGCCACTCCTGTAGCTGGTGCAATGACTTGCAGCAAAGAAATTAATTTAGGGACATATTCTTTCAAGCCATTTATACGACCTACAGGGAGGTACCACAGCACCTTTGAGTTACTAACAGATTTTCCTCCACCCAGCTGCGGGTGGCTGAGCTCCTGCCACGTAGCTGCCAGATGGCTGAGGATCAGCAGACCGCCGATCTTGCCCATGGAGACGCAGGAGCTAGGAAGCTGCCGAGTAGGCCCCCAAACACTGCCCCTCTGCATACAAATTGGGGACTTTTCACACTCCAGAGCGTGAAACAGCCAGACTAGACTTTGTGGGTAACTTGACAGGTTGCAACACGTAGGTGACCTTCAGATTTGGTTCCAGCTGGGGCATATTTAAGGCACCAGCAAGGGAAGTCCAAGAGGTAGACTGTGAGAAAAAACATTGGGATTTGATCAGAGAACACTGCAGTAAGAAAGCATATGCATAGATAATGATAATATCTTACCTAAGAGGCATTCTTCCATGCAAGAACAAACATGCTAAGAAGTTGGAGACACTAGAATATGGTGAGTTTTCCATCTGTGGGACTGGTCAAATCATTTTTCCAAGGTTTCACAGGAAGAAGGTAGCAAAATTAAGAACGTAGGCCAAGTTGCTCTACCCTCCTGGCTAGAAAGCCATCTTTTCTTTCCTAAGTGCCAGCTGATTTACTCACAGAGTAACACTTTACTTTATGGGTAAGTCCTTCTGAAGTTCAAGTGAGTACAGACATTAGACTCTGGCTCTTAAATAGTGTCTGTAATATATTTAGTCCACAGCGCGTCTCATCTTCCAAGATACCATCACAACATTATTATTACAGTGTTTCACATAATTCCCTTTTTTGTATGCATTATCCCTCTGGGAAACCTTATTTTGCCAGCCCACTGATAGCAGCCAGAAGTCTTTAACAAAGCTCCATTTTCAAAAACGTCAGTGATAATGAAAAAATAAAATGAGGAGTGACCAGTCATTCCTTTGGGGTTATTACACACATTATTCCATTTCTTCTAGCTCCAGTTCCTTGTCTAGGCAAGAAAGGATATGTAACATCCACCACGGATTTACTCATCTCTGCTATGTCATCATTACTTTGACAACAACACGTTATCACTATCACTCTGAGCCACAGGATAGCACAGCGCTAAACAGCTTAAGGACTTGGGAGGAAATAAAGTCAGGGTGTAAGCTTTGCTAAGGAGAGAAAAAAAAACAGGAGAAGCAACAACTTACTGATTCTGAAATTTCTTGGCTTGGGACAAAACTGTCATTAAAAAGAACAAAAATTGCTAGACCACATCCTAATGTGACTCCAACAATACCCTGCTTTTTACTACCTGAAATTCCAGCCAACCTTAGATTCCACAATACATAGTATCAAAGCTAGCAGCAAATGGCAAAGGATGAGCCTTTAACATGCAAGGACCATTCCCACAACCTGACACCAGAACACCAAACACAAGCATTACGGTGACCTTGTCCAACACTTCTGTTCAAGTGATTCCTGCATTATGTCTCCTTTAACAGGTGAGAAGGGGATAACCTGGATTCATATGCAGAAACTGAACTGTATTACACCTTTGAATCCATTCTATTCTTTTATACATTTCTGTGCTGTATTTCTGTGGAGGTATTTCTAAGGGTTGTTTACCTTGTTTCAGGTTTTGCCCCCAGGCTCTGGTGCAATCTCCAGCAGACACAGGCATATAAACCTTACCTCAAACAGGAGCATATCCTCAGCTGGGGAAGCTGGATCGAGGAGCTGCAGTGTGTGAATGTGACCATGGCAGTCTGGAACCTGCGGCCTGTGTTACTCCTGCTGGAAAGAGACACCCCACTAGACCTCAGAGAGGTTGGGAAACAGAAAGGAAACACTTCCTGAGGATTCAGAGAGCACTGCATGGACTTCAGTGGCATTCATAATTACCTTACCATTATTCCCAGACTGAGCAGAAACCTTACGAAGAGTATCTGCTGCCAGGACGCAGTGGGTAGGGGAAGAAAATGTATTAATAAGCCTGTTTACTTCTGTTCCATCTCACCTTCCATCCTCTCTTTGGAAAGTTCTGCCTTTATAATTTTAGTTTAGTTTATCGACTCAGTAAGATTTTAGTTTATTATTGACTCAATATTTTCCCTGTCTCAGGGACCCATCACCCACCTTCAGATGGATTCCTTTAAACAGTAGACAGAAACAGTACCAACACTGACAGGAAGAAAAAGAAAAAAAAAGAGTCCTAGTAAGTGTAACGGTGTAGTTCAGAATTGCTTCAAAGGTAAACTACGATTAAAAAAAATGGTAAACATTTCACAGGTCCAAAACTCAGAGCAAATACACATTGCAGGCCTGGTCTCACACTAAGGGACATGCTGAAACACACTAAAAACTCTTCATACTTATCCTTTCACTGGAAAATTGGGTTTGAGGGATGATCAGGGAACACTGGGATGAGACCTTAGGCACCAGGAGGTACCCAAGATACACAATAGATCCAGGTGCACTCACAATCCTGGGAGTCCCTGTTTAACTCCAGATAGAGTTAATGCTGTTACAGACAACAATCATCTTATCAGAGAGCACAGATTATCACGTCTACAGAGAAGCAGTGAGTATAAAATTTCCTCCTAGCGCTATTATCAAAGCATCCAAAATCTTTGTAGATCTCTAAGAAAGTAAAAATTTCACACTATCGAGGTGAGGACATGTACACTTTATTTAAAAGAATAATAATAAAAACCACAAACACTAACAAAAACAGCTATCTTTGGTTCCACAGGAACTTATCAGCATCCATTACCACGTATCTCAACTGGGTAAGCTCTATCTACTGGACTATGTAAGCATGAATTCAACAGAAAAAAAAAGAACGGCTTAGCGCTTAGGTAATAAAATGCTTTCCACGTCTGTATTTTTCATGTGAAAATACAGGCATCTGAAAATATAAACAGCTGTACACAAAAAAAAACACACAAAGAGCTTGTTGAATGTAGTTTAAGAACCACACACTCTCAATGAATAACACAGAGATTGGGCCCAGGGGGAACAAGGACGTAAGAAAATGGTTGTTACCCTGATTCCCTGGTACCTGGCTTGGCTAGCTGGACTTGCATTATAAGTTCTTTCATTAGCAGAAGTACTTACATGGAGATTTGGTTAAAAAATAATTTTTTCTGCTTCATGAAAATTTTGTCATGATGTGAAATTCTCAAATATCACAATATTGCAAATTTTAGAAGTTGGAGTCTAAACAATATTTTGATTAATGCATTCTGAAATATTTATTATGAGTTTAAATTGTTCATACTAAGAATACAGTTATTAAACAAAAAAACATATTGCTATGTGAAAATTAAAGACTTTTATAAATAAACTATTGAAACAGACTAATTTATTAGTCAAGCTGGTTTTAGTTCCATTGCTTTTCTGACATTAACTGAAACCATTTTCCAATCTGTCTTCTACAAAGGTTCTCTTTTGGTATTTTCTCCTGGTTGTTACTACTGCACAACTGCATGGGTAGCTGTAGGAAACTGCCCAACTTTGCACCACAAAAACAGGGGGAGACTGCTTTTATTCAAGGAAGAATAATTAGCTGGACATATAATAAGCAGGACTTGGTTACTCTCTACCACCACTGGTATGGTATTAATGTAGACAGATGGTACTATATTGATACACTCGGCATGCAAAAAAACTTCTGGTAACTGGCAATACTGGGAAATTTACACAGTGCTTGCCTACACCCAGATATTCCATCTCAGGCTAAAGAAAACAAAAACAAAAACAAAAACAAAACAACCCTATTTCCCAATCTGTCTGCCTTTGTCATACAACCCCGTGCCACCACTGCTTCTGTTGCCCTGATTGCAAGAGAGACTGTGAGCACCCTAAACTAGGGCTCATTCCTCATGGCAAAGTGACATCCCCTTACATGCCCTGAATAGTTTCCTGCAGCTCTGCTGATCCTTTTCTAGACAGGCATCCAGTTCTTAGTAGAGCATCACAAAACCCTGTGTCTTCATGAATCTTTACCTTTCCGAAAGAAGTGCACCAGTACAAATTAATCTCCAAACACCTTATTTCAACAACAGTATGAGTAGAAGAAATTTGAAGGAAAAAATCTTTAGCAGAAAAGCATTCCCATGGTTATATGCCAAATAAGTGATACATAAATTGGAAAGAGGAAAATGTCAGAAATACAACTAAAATAGAACACAAATTAGAGAAGCTACAAAGTCGAAGAATATACAGTATTTACATACTTCACAAAGGGAACAGTAATCGCCATTCTGTGACAAAGAATAGAGAAAATAATGTGAGCTGTAAGGACTTAGAACATAAAAGGAAAATACCTTGAAATCACCTGTGTTCTCTTTCCTTCTCTATCATATAAAAATTATGTTGCCTTTTCTGTCCCCCTCCCATCTGAAGAGTTATTTTAAAATAAGATTTTTAAATTTTATTATCAATATCATTCTATAAAAAGAAAGAGCGAGAGAAATCCCACTTTTTCAGGTTTGTCTCTTCAATTGCAGTGTGGAATAGAATTGCTGAAACTACCAAGCTTCCCATTACTTCTAATCACAGTACCAACAACGCTACTACTACCCTGAAACCTCAAATCACCAAGCTTTTTCCATTCAATTTTTGTGCTTTGGAAGTTCTGGGAAGCATCAAGAATTACAATCAAAGCATTCAGTGTAAATAATTATCAGACATACTTAATTTTCTTGTTTTTAACTTCCTGAAAGAAACTTCTAGAATACTCTCGCAGATTTTCCTTTCAAATACTATTCACAAGGCAACCTCAATCCAGTAGAAAATCTCCACCAAACAACTCTTTAAATGTCAAACAACAGTTTTAATGTTGTATGACTAAAACATTTTAATTTTCTTAATGTCAGAGTTCTTCCATGGAAGAGATTTAGATCCAGCTATCTGATATCTACCTTGGATGCTCAGGAAACTCTCTCGAGTAAGCAAGAGAAGTTGCCAGTAGATCAGGTAATCAAGGGAAGAATCTACTAGAACCCACACAAATCAGTTCCCAGTGCTTGGTTTCTGCCTAATATGATAGAAGGAAGAGGAAGAACCACTTGAGTGAAGAGCTAGGAAAGGTTACTCGGCCAAGATTGAAATGCTGCCCCTTCAAACTGTGTGTGCTCTATGTGGTAGCAGGGTGAAAAACCCTTAGGTATTTATTTTTTTTTCCCCTATATTAAGTTTATATTAATTCACAGTACTCATTGAATTGGAAGATAATAAAGACCAACCATATGAACAAGTAAGACAAAGACACTTGAAAAACAATGGATACACTTTATATAACAACTATCTGGTACCACATTTGAGTGAATGAATTACCTTTTGACATCTCTTCACTGTAATCAAATAACGATAAAATATATGTAAAATACAGAGGACATCTTACATGGATATAAGAAAATAAGGTTTACACAGATAGTTAAGTCACACAATAATAGCTTGAACTTCAGAATATATCTTGTAGAAGCACACTTACTTCTCGTAGAAGCACACACTTACTTTACTTTTAAATGAAAAAAAGAAAAAAAAAATATTTCACCTGTTTGTTGTAGTAAGGGACACATTCTCTCCCACTATAACCAAGAAAAATTCTGAAGTCAATTCTTCTAAAGTGACTGAAAGTCTATCTTAACAGACACCACTGCATCACTGAAGCGCTTCCTGTATGACCACAGAATCACTCCAAACCAGCCATCAGCAGGTTTCCCGGACACGGTAAATGCTGGAAGTAACACTGTTTCTGTTTGACCTGAAATAATGACATTCTGCAAATAAAGGAAAACGTCAGGTTAGGTTTGAGTACCAAGGGTGAAATGCTACTTCCATTACAGTTGTCTTTGCTGTTATATACCGGTCAGACAGTACTGTGTGAATTTACGGGATATACAAAAATGCTTTCTGTGTTTGATATTCATAACAACTCCTGTCATGATATTGTCTTCCACTGCTGATATGCTTTAAATTGCATTACCAAACAGAGTATCTTGAATGTTTTCTTTTCTTCTTTTCCTCCTCACTTTTTGGGTCTCAGGTATGCTTGTACTAACACCTACCCCACAGTCACAAGACATAATGGCTTGAATTGTCCTTCTTGTAAAGCTATAAACTCACACAGCAGCTAGTTTTCGGCACTTACATTTATTCATTTTTTAGAATAACCGTTTGTGAGAGAATTAGGCAGACATTTTGCTGTGTGCAGTTACAAAGCTCTGTGCAGTCTGATTCAAATTCTTTCTGCTCTCCACTGTATCTGCTTAGTACTAGGTTTTGTCCTCAAGTTTCCTGTGATACAACGCAGACATAAACAATACATAACATAACATAAACAATGACACTAAATTCCACTACTTTCCCAGATAGCAACTGCTTAACTAACTACTCTTTGGGTCAGTTTTACTCCTCTGTTAGGTGATCTTAGGAATAATAGGGAGACAAGGCATGAGTTACCGAAACACATATTACCAGCAGAGCAGCACCAACTGAACAACTCAAAAAAATAAATCTGGTCCTAAAAAGACTCATAACACACTTGAAATCAAACTTTATCCTGAGTTGCCAAGGACACAGCTTCCAGTGTGCCCACAGAAGAACTTTTGGGGAAAGCCTCAGTGCTGAGCTGGATATAACATCCTTAATCTGATGGGTAACCACTTTTGTTTCTGTATTTACATTTAACACAACATCCTGTAATTCTGTATTTCATGTAAACAGATTACATACTCTCTACATTGGTAGGAACTTTTAATTAGACACTTGGCATATACTGTAAATATATACAGAAAGTATATACATATTCTTATTACCTGCTAGGACACAATGACTACTTTTTAAACCACTTAGAGTATGCCCACTGTTCCCACATGGGAATTATTCCTATCCACAATTCTTTAAAGAAATGACACAAAAAGTTCTCTGAAGTAAAAAGCACTATTTCTCTTATACTTAAAAAATGGGGACATACACTAAATGCATTTCTCAAGTGTAATGCAATTACGATTGCAAAGTCTCCTTAAAATCAACATAATTCATGACTTTATCACCAGGTTCAAGTCAATAAACTGAACATTTGGCAACTGCACCAGGCAATACAGAGGACACTAGTAAGAGTGAAAGTATTAGAAGCACTAGGGCCAAAGGAAGCTTGCTACACTGCACAAGTTTTGAAGTTACTGCAGCACCTATGTAGTTGGAGTTTCTGTCACCAGCCCAGAGCAAAGCATAATTACTTTGTCTGCTTAACATAAATGAGTTACAGGACAACCACAGCAACTTATTTTGACTTCATGTGTCAGCCTAAACTCCCTTTTTACTGGAAATTTGGACCTTCCTTGTGGCTTGTCTGGGAAAATAAAATCTTCAACTGTCTTTTTGTATTATGTACACATTATTAGGTTTGCCCATACTCATGTGTGAACTGAAAATTTTATTTGCTTAGCACCACAAGGTTAAATCTCCATTGTTTTCTTGGGAATGCATAAGCCCTCCTGGAAAGCATAAATTGCCTCTGTTCTGCAATACGACCAGTTGATGGACTGACAACAAGGCAAGCATGAACCTCAGGCTCTGAGGCAGTTAGTAACTAGTGGAGTACAATGAAGAACAGCTTGTTAAACCATCTCTCAGCTTGTTAAACCATCTCTCAGCTGTAACTGGGAATATTTACCTTCTGCCAGTGCTGAAAGTGACTTACATTTCATTTCACACTGAGACGCACTAGGGTTACTGATCAGCAGTTACATCAGTGAGGTACTAGGAAGCTGCCTCTTCACAGCCTTTCATCTGCTAGCTGCTGCCTCCTAGCCAAGATGCTGTTATTGGCCTTGTGAAAGCCCCCTTGAGAGCGTGGTATTTCACAGATTAGTTTTGGTAAACCTCAGTGAAGTTTAACTTTCCACTGGAATGGAGAGCAGAGCACCCACCCACTCACAAAGTCTCATCTGACAGACTGATATGATCAAACGTTTTGATATCAAGCAGTACCTCAAGAAGAGTAAGTTCTTTTATAGACACACTAACTGAAGCATGCTTTATGCTAGAGGAAAGGCTTAGGAGCAGAACTGCCATGGGCTCTGTGGACGTGCACACAGCTCACCTCACACCAACACTCAGGCAACCAACTGCTGACTCCTGGATGCTCACAGTACACGGTTTTTCACTTGTTGCCATTCTGCCAGTAATCAGTCTCTCTCTGCTTAGCACAACCTTGCTGAGAGTACTCTTCAGCTTTAATACGTACCATAAAGCTCAGAGAACCAGCTGAGCATGGCGAAAATGTGTGCAAACACTCAACCAGGTAACTGAGATAGGTGTTCTCCTTTCCGGCACAAGGAAACATTGAGAGCACAGAGAGCAGTAACAGCTACCTTCCCTAGCTGTAGCTCTTCACATAAACTGAGCAGTATGTCTTCTGTGGTAGCTCATTTCTTGCCTCTGCAAAACAATGTCCACTGGTCAGCAAAAATTCCTTACTGAACTCACCCGCCCCATGAGTTTCACAGCTGAGGTGCCTGAGAACAAGACTGAACCCTACAGTAGGGAACCTTTTTAGCCCTCCCACGATTTTCTCTGCTTGGGCGAGTTCCAGGTCTGTGCCATCTGCCTCACATTTCTTCCACAAGGCTGCTGATGACTGTGAAGCATGAGGAGGAGGCAAACAAACAAAGAGAACATACCCACCACCAACAAATCCTCTGCAGCATGAGTCCTGTCAGTCACAGGCAATTCTTTATTACCTTTCTGAGAGGCTACCTGGCCTAATTCAAACCAAGTTACCTCACCCACAGATACCCTGACAGCAGTCACTGCAGCCTGTTAGGTCTGGTGTTTTAATACCTGCCTATCTCTAGCTAATAATGCTTGCTGGCAAGTTTTAATTTCATTAGAGATATCACTGTAGTACATGCTAAATGAACACCACCAAAAAGTAGCAAGAGAGTGCAAGAAGTCATTAAATTATTACTCCCAAAGTCTCATGATGATTATTGTTAATAGGGCAATCAAATCCTGCTGTATTGTTCCCTAACTACATGCCTGCTTAGTGGGTGGCATACATTTCCATTAAATAAAGACTTATGGTTAGAAGAAGAATGTAATCAACATTAATGACCTGAAGAGTAATTGAAAATACAGTCCCAGTCACCACCCCACCCAGCTATTAAAAAGGACAATCATTAAAAAAACTTCTAAACTAATTCCATTTTGTCTCTCTGCATGTTTGTAGAATATCATTCACATTTTCCCCGCGCTGTTATCTCTTCTTCCATTCAAATTAATTTAATGTCATTATAATAAAATACATTGTACATGAAAATAAAATGTTGGCTTTGACTACTTCTGATAACAAGTACTGCAAGGAAGAACATTACACTTGCAACATACATTCATTACAAGTCACCATTTGTGCTAACTCAATCACTTTGGGTGAAACATTTAACCACGGTGCACAATTCACACCCTGCATACACCAGTTTCACCAATTCTGTTAATTAGGCAAAAAATGCAGTTTATGTTTAAACAAAAAATCTGAGGCAAACAACCACAGTTGTTTCTCTCAAACTCACAAATTACAACATTCCCTTCTGCGATTACACATTTTTGTTTCTTCTTTTTGCTGCTTCTTTTACAAGAGCTCTGTATAAGTGAGTTGTTTCTATGCAATCATAAAACACACATACATACAAAACAAAACGGAAAAAAGCTGAACACAATTGAGGGGTCATTTTAATTTCCCCATGAGACAAATGACTAGAGCCTCATGTGTTCCCTCAGTTCAGTCTATCAGCGGTTTGAAAGATCAACAATTCTGAAATACTTCAAGGCTGGGGACCAACACAGCAAGTATTTAAAACACCCAGTAATTTCTCCACATAATGACATCTGAGAAATAGTGTCAATCCACTAATCAACTACTCCTTCTGCATTTCTTTTTCACTATGGGAAAACATTGTTTTTTCAGGGAAGAGCTTCAGCACAGTTGCCTTCTTCTGCTGACTCTTATCTGTAAGCAGGCAGATGTTCCTGAATTAATGTGAGTCATTGACCATTTATTCTTTAGTACCGAATTAAATACATTTTGTAGCATTAAGCAAAAGTATTAAGTGGAACATATAAAACAGTTTAATGATTTTTGTGAAACTGGAAAATAAAAAGATTTCCATAATTATGCATTTTTCAAATTGACTTTGTTTGTTTTAATGTAGATGGCATTAGTATCAATTCTTCAAAAACTTCTCCTTTACGTAAGTCTACTAGCACTTCAAGGGAGTATTGGAGTTAAGAATGAAACATACATAATATAGTCAAACCTCATTCACTTGATTTAAGAAATATACATACCGACCTACCCAATAATCCTAATGATGATCCAGAACAACTTGAACTCAAAACATTAACCTTGCAAAAAAAGGACCTAGTCTCGTTCCAATTAAATCAATGCCTTTTTTTTTTTTTTTCTCCAGTGGTTAAGGATAAAGAATTAAAGTGAAGCGGTACTTGAGGATAAATAGATGTGAAGGAAAAGACACCTGGAAAATACTATTTTATTCTGAACTTACCAACTTTGCTCCACTTTTGGAAGAATGTGCTGCGTTGTTTTTTTTTTGTTTGTTTGTTTGTCTTTTCCCTTTAACCTATCTTAACTTAAAATATGCAAATTTAGAAGTGGCATTCATGCAGTGAAAAATGTGAAAATTGCTCTTAGTTATACAGTATACCTGTCCTGTATCAAATATGTTGGTATGTTATTCCATGCATTTTTTAAAAGAGG